GAGTGTGGAACTGAGGGGAGATTCAGCCAAGTTGGCACCATGTGTCAACCACTGCAGATGTCAAACCAGGCACAAGACAAAGGCAAACTTAAGTGGCAGTAATATGAGCCCTGTGAAGGTAAACTTGTATTTCCCTAACTGGAGGACAGACTGACCATGAGAAATGAAAATCTAAATCACACAGAACACGGCTCCTTCTTACTCTTGCAACAGTCCTTTGAATTAACAACACAAAAATTAATGTGGCAAAATCAGGATTCCTAGTGTGAGAGGCTTTGAGAAACTGAGATCACAGACCAGCAGGGGACCCTGTTGCACCTGTCCTGAGAAGGCACAGCTGTGGCATAGGCTAGGAAAGAACTTTCCTGGCTGTCATACACTTAGGCACGAGTGTCCTTTGTGCAGTGTGACTTTCTTGTGTCTGCACCTCCGAAAGTAGCACTAAGTCTTGGCTCTAACTCAAGCTCTTGTTTTCTGCTTTATTTTCCAACCTATGGATTTGTCCAGTCCTGATGGCAGGCATAGGTGGATGGATAATTGTGCCATCCAATCAAATTTCTTCAAAGAAACTTGACCTAGAATGTTCCCTGAGAATACAATAAGTAACATTTGGAAGTGGGAGGTTCTCAACTGTAGAAACTTTGCTATTGCACATAGAAGTCTGGAGGCTTTTTCACCACCACCAGGATGGCTCTTCACTACGTCACCCTCCATTGTTAAATGATGAGTTATCCTCGGAACAAGGCAAAGGGTCCTGGGGCACACTTACTCCATTGGCTATGTCATAGGCATGCAGTTAGTTGAGGAGTTGACCATTCTGTCATCTCTACCACTGTGTGAATCTCCTGCACTAATGCTGCATTACGTGGTGCTGAGTATCTTTTACAGAGTCTTGAGCAGGGAGGAACCTTTTGAAGACAAGTACCTGAGAAGCAACTGCGGACCCTCTTACTTGTTGCCAAGTGCCAGCACAGCAATTACCCTGAATACTGAGGCTGTAGCTCAGAGAAAACAAATTCTATGTGTCATATTTGCCCTAAATGAAAAACAGTAACAGTCATCTCTTTTCTCACTTCTCTGCAATCCCATGTTTTCCTTGCTTCTTGTTTTTACTTCATCCCTTCTGAGAGCTCTCAGCTCCTCCATATATATATATATATATATATATATATATATATATATGTATATATATATACATATATATATATATGATTTTTTCATCTTTTCTCTGCCCCTTTCAATTTATTTCTCTCTTCTGTAAATAAACTGCTAAGATTAATCTAAATACCACAGGATCTTGATATTTTACGCTAGGAGCCACACTGCAAGGAATGTATCATGGGATTTCCAAAGTTAGTGAAAGGACTCAACTAAAGGGGCCACATATTACATGACTATATTTATAATAAATATCTGGAATATCAGTTTATTGAGGAGGAAACAATAGGGATCTTCTCTCAGCCAGGTAAAATCCGCTTTGTTCTCTAGCCTGTAGCTAGAAACAGTCAAAAATGATGGAAATATGTGAAGGTCGAAGACCTTCCTCCACTGGAACGTTTTTTAAAAAGAATGAAAATAGTAAACAAACAAATATTAGACAAAAAAAAAAAGGACCGCGGAGATGGCTCACTGGAATAAGCGCTTCGCTGGCAAGCGGAAGAGCCTGAGTTCAATCCCTGGTTCAAAAAAAAAAAAATTAGAAATGCTACAGAGTTTCAATAATCAAAATGATAACAATTGATCAGTGGCTGTTGTATTGTATTTTATTGTCTTCCAATTACTTATTGTAATGACAAAATGTAATCATGCAAACTTGATCAAAAAAAGTTAAAAGAAATGAAAAAGGAAGAGGGAAGACATTAAAGCATTAATTGCCCCTTTCAGTGTCCTCCAGTGGGGCTTGAGGAGAAGAAAGAAGAAACTGCACACTCTCTTCTCTGTGCTCTGGTCTCAGGATGCAGGCGTCGTGAGCACCTAACTCAGCATCAGCCACCTTCCCTGTAATCCACCTCACTCTGTGCCTAAGTGAGGGATGTTCTTCCCTGGTGGGAAACTCCAGGAGGGAATGTAACCATTTCCGACTCTGCTCACAAATGCAATTTCTGTGTATGCCAACCTGCAGCATGTGTGAACGTGATAAAGCTACAGGACAGTGAATGTCCGCAGGACAGGGTTTCCCTGCGGAGTACATCCCCATCCTCACACCCACCCCACCAACAAAAAAGCATGTCGGAGCCTAAGCAGGACTGAGAGCAGGGACCCACGCTGTAGGCTGGGAGCAGCCTAAGATCAAAGGCCATGACTTTCCAAGACATAAAAGAATGCACGCCAGAGCTGAAGCATGATACAAATCATGACAAAGCATCTCAAATCTGTTATGAAGATTACTCTGTCTGCACATCCTTCTCTCAGAATATTGCAGAGGTGATTTCAGGCCTCTGACCCAGCACAGCACATAGCTCTCACGTGCTTCCTGCCATTCTCAAGTCACCCATCCTCAAGCCCCTCTCTTCTTCAGGAATTGACCAGCTCAGTTTTGGCCCTAGGTGCAGACCTGTGTTTTACTTGGCCATCACTGCAACAGCATCTAGGACCCCTTGGCTCTCTCTTTGGTTCCACGTGGTGCAATGAAAGAGGAAAATTGGAATTCACTCACCAGAATTCCAATAACATTTACAAAAGGTGACAAACACAAATTTCCTTGGCCTCTGTGAAGACTGGGAAGTGCTCTCTATAATTTTAAGCCCTCACCTGGCTGTCAGGGTTTTGAAAAATATTCCATGGATTCAGATTTGGCAGATTTGGTGTCAGACTACCCCTTCACTCCACCCTTCAGGTGATACATGTTATTTAAATTTGGGACCAGAGGAAGAGCTTTATGCTTGCAATGAGTGGTAGGCCTGTACAGTATCGAGATAAAAACTAGTCTTTTCTCTGTTTTCTTTTCACTACTACGATCACAGTGGTTCATGGTACATATAGAAGAGGTCGACTGGTTTCCAGTTAAAAATGTTGGGCATTTGAAGGAATTATTAAGTAAATGATTTTTTTCCATGTTCAGAACACCAACAACACTGACTAAAGTAATTTAGTAATTGTTAGCATTACTCATTTGACAAATGTGTAAATGCAATTATGTAACTTTGCTATAAACTGTTGATTAAATAATAGAGTTTATTTGAATGGGTATAACTCACCTAATAAAACTTTACTTGTGAACACTGAAAAAAATAATAGAGTTTGTTTAAATTGATTTAAAACTATAAAAGAACCATGAGGCTACATAGATTAATGATTCTGATTTTCATAAAGGAATTGGTTTGCAGTTAGAGCTAAACCCCAGCAGATAATCCTAACGCTTTTTCTATGTTCTGTGTTCATATGATCTGACACATCCATCACCCCAAAGGTGTTGTCCTTTTCTCACATTTCTACCTTCTCAACAATGCTACATAAACCACACTTAACACCTTACCCCTCAAGACAATTTTATAATAATCAGCGGTTACCGTTGACACATACAGAGAGTTACCTTTCCAGCAGTGGTCTGTTTGGGGAAGGATTTGGAGCTCAGAAGCCTGTTTCCTGGGGTGATATCCATGATGATGCCTGTAGCCTTAACAGAAATGTGATACCAGGCTAACGAAGGTACAATGATGATGGTTTGGTGATAAATATTGCCAAGAAGAAAAAAAAAATCAAAGTGAACAAGATGACATGTGCATGCAAGGAGCAGAGGAGAAGGAGCTCGTGACTTGGAGACTGGGGAGCAGAGAGGGAGAGAGCGAGGGACGGAGCTCCAAGGAGCTGCACCCTTCAATCCCATGTCCTATCTGATCCACCTCTTCCAACCAGATTCCACCTCCTAACAGCAAGTCACCTATGGCCTTAACAATAGACCAATCCACTGATGATTTTCACCTCGCCCCTGATCAATCACCTCCCCAAACCCTCAGCTATGAGCACAGAAGGTTTTGTAAGGACATCTAGGTATAAAGCCTAGCATACATGAAGGTTTCTCATATTTTGATGGATGTAGTTTTATCCTTCTTGGGCAAAAACCTGTGATAGGGATTTCTCGGTTACATGGCAAGATTATTAAAGGAAATCATGTACCTTAGTGCAAATTTCCTTTTAAGTAGGCTTTGCGCTAAGTTTCCTATGCTGCCACACACTGTTCCTAGCAGTTGTTGTCATCTATCACTGTGCTTATGGCCACCCTAGTGAGAAGGATGTTGCAGCTCACTGTGGACTTGGTAGTACTCTAATAAGTAACGGCCCTGAGAATCCTGTCCTGTGTTTTTGACTTCTAATCACATTCAGAGCAGCTTGTGGTCACAGGCTGTTTCATTACCTTTGACTTCAACATAATTTAGATTCAAGCACTGTTAAAATCCCAACAGACTTAGCTATTAGTGCAATCTTAAAACATTGTGGTTATTATTATAAAACAAAAAAAAAATTATTCACACATACAAATACCTGTTTTAGGAAATAAGATGGTAAGAAAGAATGATGTCATCCACCTATGTCAGAACAGGAAGCCAGACTCATCTTGTAGCATCAGCACATGCAGATTTCTGAGGCAGCGGGAGGTCACAGAAGGGCCTGAATGATGATGCCTCAGAGGAGGTGGGGGGTGAGGAAAGTCTGTCATTGATGCACTGTAGTCACGAAGTCACAGCATGGAGTTTTAGAGCCTGGACAATAGGGGGCACTGGCAGCCCACTCTTCAGTGATCTAAGGATGATCAGAGTTAGTTGTAAAGCACCAGCCCCCATACATAGGTCTTCTGCTCAATTCTTACAACTTAAACTCTCTCATCCCCAAACCCTATTCGTCCCGATCCTGCCCCACCCAACGAGATCTTTCTGTCACAGTGGACTGAGCCAGAGCACAGGGTAGGGCTACAAACCTGGTAGAATGCTAATTTGCATGGGTGTGGCCTGCCCTTCTCAGATATGAAGAGGGCAAGCCTGGGACTTGAGGAAAGTTCTGCTCTACTGTGGGCTCAGAAGGCGGGACCCACGGATGACCTCCACCATGTCCTGGTGCCCTCTCCTCTTCAGCCTCCTGGCTCACTGCACAGGTGAGGAGACAGCAGGCAGAGACAGAGCTTAGAACATGGGAGGACCTGTCCTCACTGTTGGTCCTAGAACCATATCCACAACTCTGTGTCTCTCCCACTTGCAGGGTCCTGGGCCCAGGCTGTGCTGACTCAGCCTCCCTCAGTGTCTGGGTTTCCAGGAGAGACAGTCACCATCTCCTGCACTGGAAGCAGCAACAATGTCGGGGGCTATGCTGTCCAGTGGTTCCAGCAGCTCTCCGGAACTGCTCCCAAACTCATCATCTATAGCAATAGCAACCGACCCTCCGGGGTCTCTGGTCGGTTCTCTGGCTCCAAGTCTGGCAACTCAGCCTCCCTGACCATCAGTGGGCTGCAATCTGAGGACGAGGCTGATTATTACTGTGAGGCTTATGATAGCAGCCTCAGTGGTTGCACAGTGCTCCAGCCCTATGGGGAAGCTCACACAAAAGCTTCTTCCTCTTCTGCCAGGAGGGTGAATCCCCAGCCCCAGTGGCTCAGGTCTATCCTGTTGTTTCCCTTTTCACTGTCTATGTAGTCTCAGGTGAATCCAAAGACAATGTTTGGACTGAGGTGCCCCCTCCCCTCTGCCCACTAAGTCACTCACCCGTAGGTTGTTCCTGGGTAAGTGTTCCATGTAAACACTAGGGCCTGCCCATCTTTGCATAAAAAAAGTAAGAGAGTTCTGCAAGCCTCAGGGGATCCGTCCAACTCCCCTGGTCCCATACTTGACCTCTGACAGGGAATCCTGGGTCTCCATCACCCGTCCTTTTCCTATTTGCAACAGTTCCAGAGCCATCATGTTCTCCTTGGACCACATGCCACTTCTCCTGTTGCGGACTATTTTTTGACGATTTTAGTATACCTTTTTTTTACTCTCAATGCTAGATACATTAGAAAACTAACCGCAGTTACAACAAAAAGATTAAAAATTTTTGAAATACTTTTTATCCCATTGGAAACATCAGAGCAGGGACCAACCCCCACCCCAAGGCTCCTTGTGTCCTTCAGAGTCCTCCATCTTCACTCACAGCATCACCCCAGGGAACACCTAACCCTATCTGTGAGTATTAAAATGTGTTTTTGTTTCATAACATTATGATGACAATGACATAGTTTCTCTTGGCTGGCTTCTTTTACCAGGGTCAAATTTCATCTAAGATCTTTCCATGTTGGGCTGAATTGAAAGTGATGCTACAGAGGCTACCTGGTGAGCTCTGGGGTCTCAGAACACTGCTGGCCAGCTGAAGTATTCTCCCCACCATATAGGCACTAAAACCACATTTGATAATTCTACTAAAGTAAAGAGAAATAGAGTTGAGTCTGGATTGTACTTATGTTACTGATTTTGTTCAATACAGTTACTGGTGCAGATTTATGGTACATAATAATCATATTCCTTGTGGGGAGTTGGTGGGTGTACATAAGAAGCCTTAGTAATTTCACATCCACGTTTCCTCCTCACTCCCTCATCCTCTCTTGCAGTTTTGATTCTCAACAATCTCAGCAGTCTTGCATTCTCAAGAATAGGTCTCCCTACTTTCTCTTTGGCCAGAATGACCTGCACCTTGAAAAGTGACATCAGGGTTGGTGGATACAATGTGAACTGGCACCAACAGCCCGGGAGCCCTTTCAGGTTCCTCCTATAGTGCTTCTCAGACTCAGAAAAGAAACAGGGTTCTGGCAGCCCCAGCCAGTTCTCTGGGTTAAAGGACACGTCAGCCAATGCAGGAGTCTTGCATATTTGTGGGCTACAGCCAGAGGATTAAATGGACTACTACTGTATGATCTGGCACAACAGTGCTAATCTCAGTGACACCCTCAGATGACAAAGTGGCACAAAATCTCCAGCCTACTGAAAATTATTCTCTGACCCCTTTGGCAGTGTGATAATAACTTCTACCTCCTCTAAGTGTACATGAATTTAACCATAATGCAACCACATTCTTCATCCCTAATTAGCAGGTTACATTGTTTGAATCACATGAAAAGCAGATAATCTGTGATAGCCTCTAAGTTTTGATTGATATTTCAGAGAAGAAAAATTATAGAAAAATATATGGTGCCAATATTTTAATTTTGATTAAAATTAAGACTTGCCTTTTTTTGCTCTCCTGGTCAGAGTCCGTGGGCCATCCCAGAATTGCAGTGGGCTCCGTAGCATGGACTCTACACTACAAATATTGCATCCAAGATGCCCCCTTCCTTAGATCCAACACTGTCCAGTGCTGCCCATGGATCCCTGTGTCCAGCAGCAACATCTGAGTTGCAGAGGGAGAGCAAGGGCTCAGGAAAAAACTAGGGTACATGGCTAGTCAGGCTCCCCTCTAATCCCTGAAACTGAAGCCTCAAAGTGACGTAGAAAACAATAGGCTTGCAGTATATGGCAGGGACCTGGGGCCAGCAAAGCACATGTGAGACAAGGAAGAGAGAAGAGAGGAGTCCACCAGGGTTTACATTACATCAAGTCATAGGCCAGCCAGATAGCTCAGAAGATTAAAGCTCCTGTTTAGGCAGATGTAGCTGCCTGGGGTTCAATTCCATGGCATGCCTTGCAGGGCAGAACCAGAGTGTGCTGAGCTGGCAGCTGAGCATGGGCATGGTGATGCATGCTTGCAATCCCAGTGCTTGGGAAGCTGAAATCAGGAGTATCACTACGAATTCCGTCCTGTGTGTGTGAGACCCTGTAGACACTACACTAATACATTTTTTTAAAAAAGAATGTACCCTGATCCACAATGTCCATGTTCACAGAGGATGTGCTTTGGACTGCACCCACCTTAACCCACTTGTTTGTGTCTTGGTCTCAGGGTGTGGAAATGAAAAATGGAACAGTTTCTCACACAGGAGAGCAGAGAACACTCCACCGAGTCTGTGATTGAACATCTAAAGGGGAGTTTTCCTGCCCTCCACAGACACATGAATCTGAATACTAGGACCAAAGTAAAATAAAGCAAGGTCTAGCAGGACGAAGACACACTGGGGACTCTGCATGGCCCAGTTACATGGGAACCAACACTAGAACTGAGGCTGTTGTCAGACCCTAGGGAAGAAAAGCAATGTGGGTTGTAGGCAGAGCAAGCAAGTGATCAGTATGAACACACCTAAGTTCCTTCAAAGTGTCAGCAGAAAGCAGTGGGCTCCAGGTGTGCAGGGTGAGCTTCATCAGCAGTGTGTCACCTGCAAGACACCATGGCTCTGTAATTCCTGAAGGTGTTTTTATTCCACTAGGAACCAAACATTTTAAGAATAGAAAAATGTTGATTTCTTTGCTGTGGTTTTGCTGTTTTTACTTCTGTTCACACCTCTATATTCAGACTCCACAGCACAGCCTGAAAGAATAGAGAAACTGCACATAGAAATGAAGCATTCATATGTGAGTTATATGAATAGGAATCCTAGAAGTAGAGATCCAAAGCAAAGGTCATCCCTGCTGCTTTCATTTGAGCTGAGGGTGCTGAGTTGATTCAAGTGAAGATGCTAAGTAACTGGCCCTCAGCTCTAGAGGACCAAGAGGCACGTGGACTTTTGCTCTTGGCCTGGTGCATAGTACATTGGACTAGATAACATTAGTTCATGTGAAGAAGGTGCATGAAGATGGGGAGGACTTCCGGGCACTAAGGAAAAGCCTCTGGAAGGCTGTGGTCGAGGAAGGATTTGCTGAACATAGAAGATAGGCTCCAGGAGTGAATGCACTGTAAAGCAGGCTGAGTTGTACAAACACCTGGGGACATTCACATCAACTAAGAGCTAGTAAGTTGTTCACCAACAGATGGTGAAGTCAGTGCTCAAAATGTATAGGAATATAGTGAGTCTGATAGGGAACCCACAAACCCACCAAAGACTCTAGGGAAAAATGTAAGTTTGCTGAGCTTGTGTCCGTTTATGAGACAGTTCTATACTGCATGAAGTGGCATGCAGAGGTAATTACTACCAGAAAGTGTGTGTACACTTGTCGATTTGATTTGTGCCTGACGTGCTACTTGCAAACCTTTCACTCCATGGCTCTTCCTTCACATCATCAGGTACTGTAGCAGGGAAATAAGTGAAAATGGACAAGATCACACACAAATAAATTTTCATGAGAGACATTGGAATTTCTTTTTTATTTATTTTATGTATTTGATACAGGGTCTTATTTTGCATTTCAGACTCCAGTAGTCGTCATGTTTTCTGCCTGCTCAGCAGTGGGATTAGAGGTGTACGTGGCCGTGCCCATTCTCGGTGGCAGAATCAGGTGCCAAAGGACAGGGCTGGGCTGGCATGTAGTGCCAAGGATCAAATCCAAGTCCTTATGATTTCCTAAGTAGGTGCGTACTCTGCGGAGCTATGGCGCCAGCCTGATTTTGGTTTTTATTCACTGAATTGAAATAGATAGAATACTGAAATACTTTCATCAGAGATTCACTTATCGATAAAAGAATGTGATTACTATATCATGATATTTTTCAATGCTAATCATATTGAGACCACACACCTAAGAGAGATAATATACAACAATCCTAAATTGTATCCGATTGAAGCCCTTTCATACTTGGGACAGATATTATATACCTTCTGGTCTCTTAGCCAGGGGCAAATATGTGTCCTGTGACCATCAAGGGTGGCTGTGAGGCTGCCCTGATGGGCTGCACAGCAATACAGAAAGATCTCTCACAAAAGGACACTGGCCAGGGTGTTGGGAGCCGTGCTCACTGGCAGGCTCAGCGGTGCTGTCACCTGTGGCCTTGCAGAGCACCTCCTGCAAGTGTTTTGTCTTCTTTCAGAAGTCACTACCTCTACTGATTTGTTCGAAGAGGTTATCAAATTCTCCTCCTCCTTTTTTAACAGTGTGAGCTGAGCTGTAGCACCAGGTCTCAGGGAAGGGTTGGGACAGACAGGTTGGAAACACATTTGCATGAACAGCTCCTCCTACAGGGGCTGAGCAAGTAAAGGTGCTCTGGGCCACTCCAGCCACTGTTGGGATCAGGGGGCTGCTTCCACCATGGCCTGGACTCCTCTTCTCCTCCTGTTCCTCTCTCACAGCTCAGGTAAGAACAGGCCTTGCAGAGAAGATGCATTTTTAAAATCTCAGCAGGTGTCTTCTGCTGTGACTGCTATGACACTTTAGTGCTGCCACTGTTTCATAATCCATCCTGCTCTGTACTTGCAGTTTCCCTTGCGCAGGCTCTGGTGACTCAGGAACCCTCCCTGTCTGCAGCTCCTGGAGCATCTGCCAGACTCACTTGCACCTTGAGTAGTGGTATCAGTGTGGGTGGGTACTACATATGCTGGTACCAGCAGAAGCCAGGGAGCCCTCCCAGGTTTCTCCTATGCTACTACTCAGACTCAAGTAAGCAACTGGGCCCTGGCATCCCCAGCCGCTTCTCGGGTTCAAAGGACACCTCAGTCAATGCAGGAGTTTTGCATATTTCTGGGCTGCAGGCTGAGGATGAAGCCGACTATTACTGTAACATCTGGCACAACAGTGCTTCTCACAGTGATACCCATAAATGGAGAAGTGATACAAAAACCCAGCCTGCCCTGGGAGTTACACTATGATGCCTTTTGAAATATAAAAATACCTTCTGTCTACACTAACTGTGCTTGGAATTAGATACAGTATAATATCATTTGTTTCCTCAAACACTAAGCAATATTGCTCCAAACTCAGGAAAAAAAATTGTGATGGCCTCTAAAGTTTTCCTGGTGTTGCTGTTATTTAAAAACAATAAAAAAATAGAATGCTGATTTTTTTTCTTCAAAACATAATGTAATCAAGACTTTCTAGCTCTCCTGGTCAGAGCCCGTGGGGCATGTCAGCAGGACAGTGGGCTTCAGAGTGAGGACTTTGCATATACAGATGCCATGATGATGCTTTCTTTAAAAATCTATAAGAACATAATAATTTCTGCCCTATTCTGTGGAGAAATAGCAGTTTCTCCAGCCCTGGCAAAAGCCAACAGGGCTTAGAGAACCAGCTAGAAAGGAGTGAGTATCTAAGTGTTCAGGAGCTGAGGAGCTATCAGCGCAATGGAAATAGAGAAGGAGAAGAGATGCACATTGGCCCCAGACTTGGCCTTTTGTTCCTGAACCAAATGATGCAATTGGGATCCAGTTCATATTATACCACCTAGATGATCTCTGTATAGCAGATGGGATAAAAGCAAATCCTTGTCCCTTGAATCCTGACAGTCACTTAAGTTCAGAGAAGCATTTCCTTTCCCGAAGACATAATCAACTCTGTGTCACAAATCAAAAGGTAAAAATTAATATACAGCGTAAGAGCAATGTGAAACTTCAGGGGACTTTGAGCAGATGGAAAGCACATTCCAGGTGACTCACATGTGGCTGATGTTGGAAGTAAAACTAAATGATTTCCAAGAGATGTGCTCTCTTTTTTTCCTGGAAAAGTCTAATGGATAATTCAAAGAGAAAACGTAGGAACCAATAGCACCTACCTTTTCACATCATAAACAAACCTGTAATGAATTCATTACTGCACAAATGCCCAGGAACCTTCCCCACATCAAGCACTAAGAAAATCACACGGTGAGGGAGGAAACAGGGACCTGGGATAGCACGTGTGAAAGGACTCAGGTGATGAGGTTGTGTTGGAGAGATTTTTAAACAACCATAATACGGATACTGATGAACTATTCCATTTCTTTTTAAAAATTTTCTTCCATAGTTTTATTGAGAAACAAATAGCAATGAGACAGCTTCAAATCAAATTGGTAGGACAGTTTTAATAATTAACACATTGCATACATTCTTCCTAGTGGTTAATTGCTGTACAAGATGTGGACAAGATATCCTATTTACAAACACCATTAGAACAAATCCCTCTATTCTTTAAGAGAATGTAACCATATATCTATTAAAACCACTTTGAGTACACAGATACAAAATGGACATTCATCTGTATATCCTTTTTTTGTTAAGTTCCATTATTTGAATATTATAGGTGTGTAAACTCAGCAAAGCATTCTAAAAGAGTCCAGTAGCCCATAATGGTATTGGGTCTTCCTCTTGACTGGCAATGTCAGAAATTGTTGACCTGAGTCCCCTACAGCTCAACATAACAGCATGGCTTTACTTCTTATATTTCGTTTTTATACTTTTCT